GTCCAAGGCCATGGCCTTGATGTGTTGCAGGTTTCTTGAGCTTGGTCTATCGTTTGACACAAAACGTGGATTGCCCCTGATGAAGTTGTCTCAGCCTGTGAGTTCTTCTTGGTTGAGATTGTTGGAGGAGTTGGCAAAGGAAGAAGAGAAGAAGAAGCAGGTGCAGAGAAGGAGGTGTTGGTCAGAGTTGCAGCAGACAGTGGCTGCAGCTAGAGAGTTGAAGGAGCAGATGAAGGAGAAGGCTAAAAGGGAGAAGGAGATGAAGTATGCCGTTGAGAGAGTGAAGATGAGTTGCAAGGAACTGGAGCATGGGGTTGAGATTGTTGAGGAAAGAGTGAAGATTTTGTATAAAAGTTTGATTGATGTTAGGATGAGCTTGTTGGGAATTCTTTCCCAGACTTCTACAGCGTTTAGATCTGATTAGAATAGTTTAAGAATTAAGCTCACTTCTTGAGTCATGATGTCACTTAACTTGCTGATAGTTATTGATGTATAGATATTTATCTCATATATATTTAGAGTGTAAATTAATTAATCCTTATAATTTATTATTTTTAGTTTTCACTATAGTTATGTTTTGTTTAATTTACTTTTTGAGATGATGAAACTCTTTAATGTTTAGTTATTTATTATTGTATTAGATAGTGACGACGTTGACTACTGTTATATAAAATTCTATATTTTTGTTAAATTTAGGAACTTTAAAGTCAATTAATTTTTATATTTTTGATTACCGATATTAAACTATCATATAATTAAATGGATGACAATATATATATATATATATATATATATGTTATAATTAACATTTGAAATTTAAGTGTGAGAGAGATGTTATTAAAAAAATTCATTAAAAAATGGTAGATGTACGCAGATTATATGATAAAGTAAAGGAATCCATAAAATTAATACTTTTTGATTTGAAATTTAAATGTAATGTTAAGCTAATTGGTGAATGGTGATTCCTTGTTTAGTTCATTGAATGTAATATACATGTACTTAATTGAAGAGTACAAAAGCGAAATGAAAATGTGAAAAATGTAAGAGAACAACTCAGAAAGCCCAAGATAAAAGTGGCTGCATTTTGTATGGAAGTGTCAAACCTTTTCTTTTTCTTTCCTCTTTCCACTTATTTATAGGTCTCACGTGATTGATTAACTTTCTTGGTAGAAGAGGGACAAAAAGCCATACTAAGCAACTATTCTACTTAAAAAACAGACGCCAATATATGTTCCTAGACTTGATAGGATATATAGTGGAACTTCATAAGATTCTTGTTAAGTTATGCTAGAGCTAGCTAGCACTACTCAAATGTGTATGTATATCCATCTAAATATAAATAAAAATATATACTAGAATTGAGGGCGCTTAATTTGTGGCTTTGTCTGTTGCTTGGAGAGAGAAATAAAGTTTATTCCTTATTTTAGCATAAAAGAATCAATGAATGAGACCAGAAAGAAACATTCATGGTTCTTTTGAGAAAAGTTTTCACTTGTGATTGTAAGCATATATGCCTGAGGTTGACATTCGTCATATTCCGAATTAATATGCATGGTTGCTAAAGAGTGGAGCATCTATTGTGACCACACCCCAACTCCAGCGATCAAGCCACTTTTAAGCATACCTCGAATCTGGTTCACACATTGCTAACAACTAAGAGCTTTCATATATGTCTTTAATTGTACATATTCCTTAAATTTTTTACCGAAAAAATTATATAATTGTGTTTATTATGACCATTTGAGGTAGCTAAATAAAGATGAGTAATTTCCAACTCTTGAGGGAAAAAAGTTGACAATAGGAGTTAATAAATGAAGTATTCCTTTAAAAAGTGAAAAAAAAAATGCTCTGATATGGCCCATGCAGGTCTCGAACCTGCGACCTTCGCGTTATTAGCACGACGCTCTAACCAACTGAGCTAATAGGCCGGTTGATGTCTAACCTACAAATATATTATAACTTTGGTTATATATATATAAAAGAACAATAGAATTTGAAGCTCTTATACATAGTGCAGCTGGTAAAAGAATTTTTTACTGGAATAATATTTTTTTAAAAAAAAATTACAAAAATGATCACTGTGCAGGATTATTTACCGAGATAGAACCATTTACTGTTCAAGCTCAGAATTCGGTTCCCGGGGAACCGAATTCTGAGCATCAAAATGTAATTTTTTTTGTTTTTTCAACTCAGAATTCGGTTCCCGGGGAACCGAATTCTGAGTTGGTTTTAAATTTTTTTTTTTTTTCGTGTATGGGGCAAATGTGGGCTGATCTGGGAAGTGGAACGGCCCGTTCCAAAAGCAGAACGGGCCGTTCTGCTTAAAAAAACAGAGTGCAAATTCTGAATGTGAAACGGCCCGTTCCAAAAGCAGAACGGCCCGTTCTGCTTAAAGAATTTACACTCTGTTTCTTTAAGCAGAACGACCCGTTCTGCTTTTGGAACGGGCCGTTCCGCTTCCCAGATCAGCCCACATTTGCCCCATACACGAAAAAAAAAAATTAAAAACCAACTCAGAATTCGGTTCCCCGGGAACTGAATTCTGAGTTGAAAAAACAAAAAAAATTACATTTTGATGCTCAGAATTCGGTTCCCGGGGAACCGAATTCTGAGCTTGAACAGTAAATGATTCTATCTTGGTAAATAATCATGCACAGTGATCATTCTTGTAATTTTTAAAAAAAAAATATTATTTCAGAAAAAAATTCGCTGGTAAAAAGAACTTTTCTGATATTTGAAGAAATCTGGGTGCAAAAGATCCTAAAAGAATGCATAGAATATAGAGACATTCACTTTAATATTGGTGCGTCACCACTATTGCTTTGTAGCAAAGGAGGTATGCACTTAACCTCCTTGACATTGCTTCATTAGGTTATGTTGTTGGGTTTATATTTTATAACGTGTCCATTTCACAGTTCTGTTGAGTGTATTTTATGTGTTTAAATCCTCGAGAAAATATAAATTTTAGAGTGCATTTTACTATAGAATGAAAGATGTTAGAATACATTTAATTATAAATTAATATGTTTATTATGGTTAAAAATTTATATAAAAAAAACTGAAACCTCATATGTTAGATGTATTTGCAACTAATTAAATTTTATTAGCAACTACATTTTAATTTTAAGCATTTTGAAAGGTAAAATATTATGATTTTTTAGAAAAAAAATAAATCTGGCAAATGAATTTGAAACATTAAATGGTTGGAAAACCTATACTCCTTTAATTCTAGGTTAAATTGAGATGTTATAAGTTTTATTCATCGATCACTTATAATTATGGTTTACCATAGGTTAGAAAATAGGTGGGACAATTTAACCCAACTCATCTTTAGGCGTGTTTAAAAAAAAAAAATTAACCTGCCCCAACTCATTATGGATTGGTTAATTAAATGGGTTGACTCACTTAAATTAAAAAATATTATAATCTTATATTTGAGAATTACAAGTTACAACTATGTTATGTTAACAAATAGGACAAATAAAATGTCAAAAAAGAATTAGATATCATCCACAACCAACTTAATCAATTTATAAAATTAAAATTATTACATAAAATATTGACAAATAATATTAAATTGACATTAATTATTATAATTCACAACTAGTATGTACAAAATTTAATCAATGGTATAAATGTATAATCATATAAATTATTTGAAAACATAAAAAGTAAAATAAAAAATAATAAAAAACATATTAGGTAAGCCAACTCATGAATCAACCCGACTTATCACGAGTTGACTCGTGGTAAGTTGGGTTGTAAGTGAATCATGCTAAATTTTTCTTATAATTGAAACAGATCAAAATTTTATGATCTAACCCAACTCAAACACGTGATAGGTTAAGTTAATTCACAATTTTTAATCCACTTTGACAGTTCTACTTATAGTAGTATCTAGAATCTCCTAGCTTTTGACAACATATGACCATAAAGCCCATGTCTCTAGTAAAGGAAATTAAAATCTCCATATTTAACATGGAACCAAAAGTTTATGAACAATACATATCTCGTAATAAGTTAATATAGATGAAATTTAAACACAAACTCTAATAAACCTACCTTCTAAGGTATCAACAATTCTAATAAACACTACTCCATTCCAGGTATTGGAAAACATATTCATACCTATGTTATATATATAAATGGGCATGTGATGAAAAAATATCTAGAATCTAATACCTAATTGCAAGCTAGTTGTTGAGAATCATCTAAGGTCCTCCACTAATGACCTTATTATTATGTTTAACCATATTAAATTTGACCATGTAAAAATTATTTTCCACATCAACATAATTAATACCTCCGATAATCTCTAAATAATAGCCTTCAAATAATCTCCTAATAATATGAAACTCTATTGTGTTTAATAAAAACAAAATAATCATTTTTTTTATAAAAATTATAATTCATGTAAATGTTATCATCAATGTAATATCTAAACTCAAGTTTCTTTATTCTCAAATTTTATCTTGAAAAAATTGTTGTCAACAATTATCTTGATATAGTGATAGTTAATTGGAATCTAGAAGATTTGTCACAAAAGATTACTTGAGGTGGGTTTGCTTTTAAATTAAGGAAAAATATTTTTTTAAGCTTGTTTTTTAAAAAAATTATATTTTAATTCTTTATTTGTAAATATTACATACCAACAAAAATCAATAATAAAAGGCTTAAATATATCTTTAAATTTTAAAAAATTAATAAATTTTAGTTTTGATTCTTGTACTTTTTTTATTTTTTATTTTTTAAAATTAAAACTATATATATATATTTTTTTGTAAAATAAATAAATTTTGATTTTGATTCTCATAAAATATTTTTTTTTTGAAAAAACATTTTGATTCTTATGAAAAAATTTTATAGTAAAAAATATTTTAAATCTTAATAAAAATGTAAAAAAACAAAAAGTTCAATTAACCTTTTTTTATAATAAAAATAAAACATAAAATAAGAGGAAAAAACACTAATTTGGTATTACCACGTCTAATTATAAAGAAAGGAACACTTTCCACACTGTCTTCTTCCTTCACCGTTTTCGTGTTAGGGTTTTCAAAGTTGCAGCGATTTCGCGCATCCAACGAACTTCGACCAACGCGTCTTCAGTAACCAAGTCTCGAAAGAGATCGCGATTTCCGCAACGTTCCATTACCCTAACTCGCGGAATCAACATCATCGGGCGACACGGTACGATGTTTCGTACCTTTACCATAACCTAATCCAATGTTAAAAACACTTTCTTTTCATTCTGAGTCCGTTTAACTTCGCGTGCGTAGTGACATGTAGTTTTAGGGTTCTTTATTTTCTGCGGTTTTAAATTTTCTGTGTGATGATTTGATTTTACTCATTTTTGGTGAATTATACTGCGTGGTGTGTATTGAGAATCTGGGACTATAGGCATGACCGTTGAATGATGTTATCTCATCGTTATGCTTCCCTCATTGTACTTACAGTGGCAATGGCTTACGTGGATGAGGATGGTTCTTCTGGCTCTGCTGAAGACATGAATATGTTGGATGGACAAAAGCGTAACCCTGTTGTTGTGCCGTCTGGCTCCGGCGGCCGGAAGCGGAGCCGGAAGGCGAACGGCGACGCCATTGTGGATGCCATGCTAGAGATTGCTGCTGCCTCAAAGATGAGGGCCACTGCAATTTTGAAGAATGAGGATAGGTTCTCCATAAGCAAGTGCATTAAGGTGTTGGATGAGTTGCAAGGTGTTGATGAACGGCTATACTTTCTTGCTCTGGATTTGTTTGAGAATAACTTGTGTGCCCGTGAGATTTTCATCTCTCTCAAGGGTGAAAGGAGGTTGCCGTGGTTGCAGTGCAAGTTCAGTGTTCCCTCTGGTTGAAATTGTTTTGAAAGTTCTTGGATCATGTTGTACAGTCATGTAGGTTGAAGAGGAAATGTGTATATATTTTTAATTTTGAGTGGTAAATCCCCGTTCCCATAGTTTAAAAATTATCGTTGGGGTTGCTGTTATATGCATGACTGGGAATTTGAAATGCTTTCTGAAACTACGAAGCAGATATATCAGAATGACATACAGTTTTTGCAGCATTCGACTCTTTTGAGTTTATCTTTGTAGATACACCAATCAGGATGGATGACATTGACCTGAAATTGCATCAGATGGGACTCATTCTCCTTGCTAGCAGCAGCAGCTGGAATGAAATGAGTTTCATCTGATCCAAACAGGGCCATGGTTGGGAAGGCTCTGTAACAGACGTACGATTGCTAAGGTTGTTCTTGGTTGTTAGTACTATATATGTTGTTTAGACTCATTATCTGTTTCCACTTATTTATTTCATTGGATTGAATTTATTTTATATGCAAGTGTTACCTTGTTAAAAAGGAAAATAAAATATTAGAGGGTCTACTCTTTTTAAAGGGGGTTCACCACCAGGATTGCTGTTTTTTCATAAATGCATAGGGGCTATTCAATCACAGGCTCTAATATATTATTATCTGGGAGTTCAACGTGTCATTCTAAGATTTAGAAGGAAACATACATAGTCGCATGTGTTTATATGCATGACTTTTATACAATGTATTCTCGTTATGGGATTGGGTTGCTTTTGCTGCGGCTTTGTGGCGTAACTTTTAAATCAATGGAACGAATGATGAGAAATACTAAGCCTGGTAGTGGAAGTGATAACTTGATTTGGTTTGTCAATACTAAACCTGGTAGTGGAAGTGATAACTTGATTTGGTTTGTCGCAAAATACAACTAAATCGGCTTTTTCTCTCTCAGTTCATACAGACACAGTATACCATTTAAGCTGAAGAGGCTTAGCTAGCAACTAGTTATGGTTAAATCTAAAATATGATCATTCAATTATACAATATATGCTCTTCCATGACACATGCTCCTAGGCACCAAATGTGAACAAAAGTTTGTAGTATACATGTTGAACGGAATTTCAACGTGCTTATAACACCCATAATAGCTGTGGTCAAAACAGTAAAAGCCAGATCAAAATAATCAGGGTTTTTTCTTCGATTGGTTGCAAAAATATGACGTCCGATGACCAAAATGTTGAACATTCTTTGATGTCTTGAAAATTTCTACAAAACTTAAAAATCGAATCATTTCCTCAATTTTTATTCTTTGGTTTCTTTTCAACAAAAGTGACATATGGGTAACCCCATCTATAATGTCGTCCAAAGTGAACAAAATTTTTCATTAATTTAATACGCATCAATTTTAATATATTATAAATTTTAAAGTAGTTATTTTATTTAATTGAAATATGTATTTATTTATAATTTAACAAATGACTTACAAATATATTAAATTGAGATTGAGATTAATAGTATAATTTTTAAAGAGATATATTACGGGATCAATTAGAAAACTTATTCTTTTTTATTGGAAATTTTTTTTTGCTTTAAACAGAAAAGTTAATATAATTATGAAAAGGTATAAAATATATAATATAACAATTCATATAAATTGCGTCATCGTACGTGCACTTACTGATAAAGGGGGAGGAAGTAGAGGGAATGGAAGGAAATAAGTGAGAATTAATTTAATAGGAAATAAGTAGAAAATGAAGTGGAATAGAGTTGAATTTATAGTTGGTTGATAAAGTGAAATTAAGTGAGAAAAAGAGGTGAATTGAAATTTTAAAATTATATTTTATAATTTTATGTAAAAATAAATAATTATAAAATTATCATTTTAACCTTTGATGCATTAATGTACGTTTTTTTAATATAGATAATATATTATGGTAATAACATATTGGAATATGGTACAAATCCATATTGAATAAAATGTGATAATTGCACTATAGAATGTGATAATTGATTAATGACAAATTCTAATTCCTATAATATGAAAGTATTGTAATATGAAATGTGGATAGTTTAATATGATACATTTTCAATGACTATAATAGTAAACATAATACAATATCACACAAGATAATGGAATATAAATAAATATCATAATGATTATATTTTTACAACATATTTGAATATCATACAAAATTTAATGTTTATACATAGTTATTTGAATATGATTCATAACAAAAATGAATATAATAAAATATAATTCACCTTTCCACTATGCAGAACAATAAGTTTTTTTTATTCCCTTCAAATTCACTATGCTTCTCCTCCTCCCCTCAAATTCAATGTTTAAATGCTGCCAAGCACAACGTTAATATTCTATTGCTTTTATATGCATGTGTTAAAACTGTCCAAGAGCTGCCATTTTCACTGCATTGGAAACTTCCCTTCTAGTTTGGCACAACTCTAATGCTTTGTTTAAATTAAAAATCAAATAGAAAAAAAATAAACCATAAAATCCAGTTTCTTTTTGATAGATAAAAGTTTATAAAAAAATAAGTAAAAACAATTCTCACCATTTTTTAAATGAATTAAAAAGAAAATAAATAAACCATAAAAATACTTTTAAATCAATCTTTTTTTTAGTTCGTCCCTGGAGTATCCACCGCCGACAGCAGTGACTAATCTTCTCGCTACGTTGGAGGCACCTCAAAGGGTAGGATAGTGGCCCCAAGATTTAACGCGACTGCATACACAAGGCAGGATTCGAACCCCTGACCTTGCTTAAGCGTGAATCAACCTCTACCGGTGCACCACTTAAATCAATCTTTTTATCCTATTATTTTTTAACAAAAAAAGTATTATTGTTTTTTTAAATTATATTATAAAAAATTATTTAACGTTGACTAATGTAGGAGGAAACGTATTATAACAGATCCCATGAATTTTTACAACTTATTAATTCCTCTCCAAACAAAGAAAATGTTCTATATCCCTCCCAATTACCCAAAACAAAAATAGTGAAAACTTCTTGCAATGCATATGAAGAACACCGTCTCTAGTATCTAAGAAAAATCATGCACGATGCCCAGTATTACCACGTTTAACATTGTCACTCCAACGTGCTTTTCTTATTTTTATTGAATGTATGTATGTACTCTAATTCTGTATTGTCATAATTAAACCTTGAACTTTAAGACACAGCAAGCCATGCCCCATAAACTACAACAGCTAGAGTTTCATCAGACTATCTTTCCAAATAAGTATAATATCATCCCACCATCTTTTGCCTTAAAAACACAAGTATTATAATAATCCATCCCCCAAAATAACAAATTAATTCATTGACACGAAATGCACCCGTGCCAGGGTATATTCCTTTCCAGCAATCCAAACACCAGTTTGCGACCATTGTACGTCTTCCCAGTCCAAATTTTCCTCCAGTACCTGCACACCAAGTCCACATTTTAAATTATGATACAATTCAAGAGTTTAAATATGCATTCTGCACATAATTCGAGTAACATGCAGCATACTCTTTAATCTTAACAACAAAGGATTAAATATAACATCCAATGGAACTCGCAATGGAGAGGGGAGAAAATTCTGAGACATTATTCAGCATGCCAGTTGAAAATAAATATAAAGTGGTTTTAAAAATACCTCAATATGTTCAAGAGGCAAAGGGATGCCAACTGTACGCATTACTTTCTGTGGCAGAGGCTTCTTACAACGAGACCAACGGAATGCGTCAATCATGACATTCTCACAATCATTTTTTTCACCATTTGCAGAATGTGGGTGGTGATTTTGAGACTTTTCTGTCGCAGGGTCGGACAACTGGGTTGCTGGTGTAGCCTTGATCATCTTCTCTCCGGTAAAACAAAGTTCATATCTACAAAGAAAGGACTTATTATTAAAAGGATACCAGCAGGAAGTTTCTTCGCAATTTCAACAAAACCTCAGACTTTCAAGAAGATATGGAACAGACTAATACTTTCCGAGATCATCATCACCGTGGTTTCTTCACATTTCACAAATTAAAGGCAGTGCGATAAAAAAATGAATTATACATGAAAATAACACTGATAAAAGAGAAATTTTATTTAATAGGGTTTTGCATTTATAAGCACATTCCTGCTGCA